TGAAATATGAGATATAAAAGCTTTCTGAAAACTATACATATGATATTATTATTACTATTTAATTTAGACTCTCCCCAAGGCTGCCAGCTTGTCCCACTCCAGTCTGAGTAGTGATCAGTTGGTATCTCCACTTGCTGTCCCCAAGACAAAGGGTTTTAGACCTTTCTTAGCAAGATAAAGGCTCAGGCTAAAATCACATCCATGGACTGAACCTGAAATCCAGGTATAACCAACAGAGATGAAAAGAAGTGTGTCTGCTCACCAGGGACACGTGTGCAGGCTGTGGGCAAGCCTCCAGAGGATGCATCTGGGCACTAGATCAACACAGTGGATAAGGGAGCCAGGCATCCCGACCCTGCCCTAGCACAGATGCCAGCAATGTCTCTGCAGAACTCACCTCAGCAGACCTCCCTTGCCAGGGTACAGGGCCCAGCAGATGCAGCCAAGTCCATCCCTTCCAACCAAGCTAACTTCCCTGAATTCTCTGAGCATGCCTCTTTTTCTCATTATTTCAACTCCTGTAAACAGCCCTACCTAACACTGGCAAGCTTCAGAGGCAGCAGTTAATATTTTTTAAAGATGTGAAGAACTGTTTTTAAAGTGAAAACTTAGTAAGTTTAGTAAAAACTTAAGCCTGCAGTAGCAGGCATTTATTTTTCAAACTTTCCACTTTTCGTGCATTAGCTCACAGGATCTAAAATAAGGTGCCAATAAGTAACTTATGGTAATAGCTATTCAGGAGGCATTATGGTTCTTACACAGCATGTTTACCAAAAGCAGGGCCCTCCTTGCCCGCTGGGCTATACAATAACCAAAGAAAGAAAAAAGGGAGGAGAGCCAGTCATGGTGACACATGCCTGCAATCTCAGCACTCAGGAGGCTAGGGCAGGGGGATGGGAGTTCGAGGCCAGTGTAGGCCAGTCTACATACCAAGACCCTATCTCAAAAAAAGAAACAGAGGAAAAAAAAAAAAAAAAAAAAACAAAAGAAAAAACTAAGTTATAAGTTTTGTCAAAACAACCACTAACCATGTGCTGTGACTTGCTGCCCACTGCCATCTTCACCCTCCATCTTGAACAAAGAAAGGCTTCCATGGAAGGCCCAGCCAAATCCATAGGCTGGAATAAGCAGGTGCCCACTAATCTAACCTGGGCCTTTTTTGTGCTCCACTGTCCTTGCCCCACCCCAGGCCATACATACAAGAAGTCTTTCACTTCCTTTATCCCTTCTGCTACCAAAGATTCTACACTTTCTTTCTTATTTAGAGCTTCAAAACTATTTCTGCAAAACAAGAATACAAATAAAGAAGGCTCATTACTCAAGGGTCATTCTGCTCAGATGATCTATGTCCAGCTCTTCTGTAGCCAAAAGGTTTTATCAGATTCCAGGATGCCACACTAGTGGCTACTCACCTGGTACCTGATCGAGCTAAGAGCTTCATTCAATCCACAATGACAGTCTCCCCCCTACAGGAGATTTATTGGAGGGCAAGGAGTTGGACTTGAGCGCCAGGTGCCTGGACTAAGTCCCAGATCTGCCACTTACTAGTCACAGGACTTTGTATAAACCCTTAACCAAACTGAGTCTCAGTTTCCTTTTCTGTAAAATGGACACGATGATGATGATCATAATAATACCCATTGCACAGGGTTGTTTTAGTAACATGAAATAAATGAGCCAGCAGACAGCACGCCCTTGATAAATGTCAGCCTGCATCCCTGGCACTGTCCTGTTTGAGGCTAATGAGGCCTCAGCCTGTTGGAAACCACAGTCTGAATTCTAAGACTGAACAGTCCATGCCTGTTACCTCAGAAGATGGAAGGAGAGAGTCCAAACCTCAGAATGAAATCCACAAAGCTTGTTCTGACATTGAAGGTCCTCTACAGTCTATTCCCACCCTGACTTCCACTCCTGCTGCATTCCCACACCACTCTCCAGGTCATCTATTTTTTTAAAAAGTTTATTATCTAAGTGCCACATACCACACCAGGCATAGTTCTCCCATCTGGCCAGTCCAATGTCTTCCTAGTCCCAGATTCTACCCAGCGGTCGGGACAGAGGTCCACAAAGAGCTTCCACAAAGCCTTCTCTGGTTGCCCTACTCCTTATGAGCTTCCACTACTGAACTCCTCCCAAGTCTTCTGGTTCTTTTGCTACATGACTATAGTTTATAAACCTAAGTAGAGTACAATTAACTCAAAACAAGGGGGAAATCTTATATCTCTTTGTATATCCCTAAGTGACTAGTACTGGGCTTGTGCTTAGCAGAGACTCAGTGAATACATGATTTATATCTCAAGAGGGCTTGATGGCTCAAAGCAAATATAGGATCATTCTTTCAAAACATTCTTAAGATCAATAATATCTCATAGCATAGAAGTTTAAAGGCTTAATCTCCACACCTAGACTAAGTAGGTTTATGGTTAAACCTTCCATTAATTAGCTTCGTGACCTTAAGGAAGTTACTTAACCTCAGTGCTTCAGTTTCTTCAACTATGAACTAAGGATAATCAAAGTACCTACACTTCTTAGGGTAGTTTCAAGGATGAAATAAGATAATACACATGAAGTACAATGGATGGATCCGGGCACACAGTAATTACCTGTAAATATTCAATATTATTATTACTATTATCATTGATGTTATTATTATTACTACCTTCTTGAAGTTCAATTCATCCAAAATGTCCCAAAAAGCATTTGGTAAAGTATCCTGAGCCTAGATAGAGACGCACTGGGTATCAGCACATACAAGTCACTTTTTCCCTCCTCCTTCATTCATTTGGCCCATTAGGTTATAGAAAGCAGTAACAAATTTCTACACCTAAAAGGCATCCCTACCTTTGTGCTATTTATCAGTTGCCTTGTACTGTTATAAAATCTGTGATTCTACAATCCTTTCCACCTCTGCAAAGCTTTAAGTGTGTAAGCAACTCAAAAATACTTTCCCAGGCTAGGGATGCAGCTCAGTGGGAGAGCACTTGCCCAACATGAGCAAAGCCCTGGGTTCAAGCCTAGTACCACAAAAAACTAAAAATATTTTCCTAATGGCTTAAAAAAGAAAGGAAGGTCCAAAGGAAAACTGACTCAGTACCAAAAACATCAGCTGGGCATAGTGGCACACATCTGTAATCCCAGCACTTTTCGAGGCCGAGGCAAGAGGATCCCAAGTTCTAATCTAGCCTAGACAACTTAGTGACTTAGCAAGATATTGTCTCAAAATAGAAAATGGGGCGGGGGGGGGGGCTCAGAACAAAAGCTCAGGGTTCAATCCCCAGTACCACAAAACAAAAAAAAATGAGGTCATACAGAGCCATCAAACTTACTACATTTTCATGAAGTACCTTCTTCAGTGTTTTCCAGTTTGACCCAGGCATTAAGCAAAGCAGAAAGCCTTGCTTCAAACCCACCAGGGATGATTTTACATCTTGTCATCACACAGCAAATTTTCCATCAAAAAAGTGGTTTCTCTTTTCCTCTCTCCCACTCTCTATTACTTTTCAGTGAGATTTTTTTTTTTTTGGTACTGGGGATTGAACTTGGGTTTTAATTAAGATCAGTTTTAATACACAAGCTAAAAGGCAAATAACTCTTCAATAATGAGACAAAATGAAACTGCTGACAGTAATAGAGAAAGAATGGGCAGTTCAGATTCACAAACTGGAATTCAAAAAAAATACAGCAAACTTCTTTCAAGATATCTGCAATGAGGAGAACATCCTGCTTTCCAGTCTCAGAAACTAATTTCTGCCAAGTCATTTTCAATCAGAGTCTGGCCCATGGGAGGGAACCTCTATGGTGAGATGGTTTTTTTAGGGTAACACACAGGTTAAGAGCACAGATGTAGAATTAGGACATAAAATCTGGCTCCTCCACTTCCCAGCAACACCACACTGTACAAGTTACCTAATCTCTCCAAATCTCATCACCCATAAAATGGCAAAAATAACTATGCCTAACTCAGAGTTGTGATTAAGTGAACTCATTAAATAAGAATATCCTCACTCATTTTTAGATTCTATAGTTGTTTAGCCCAGTGGCTGTAGTGAACACTAATAAACGATAACTGTTTTACTCTCATCTGCATGTGCAGCTAACAGCCAAAACCAAGGCTAACCATTTTTAAAGTCAATACTTTTCTTGCTGAGACTTATCAGTTCCCATAATTAACCCAACAAATTAGTTTTGTGGAGCTCATTAGAGAACAGACACAAAGAAAATTATAACAAAATAGAGCAATTTAAGCTTCTAAATGTATTAAGTAATACTGACATGAGCACTAAGATGTTCATAGGGTAGATCTGATACTCTCACTAAGCAACAGCATGCCAACCACTGCTTCTTCTAACTCCAACCTCATTCTCCCAGGGCCTCTAGGAAGCACAAGGCATTTTGATACTTTTCCTGTTCTTTTTTATTCCTTTTTAATTTTATTTATTTATTTATTTGTGGTGCTAGGGATCAAACCTAGGGCCTTACACATGCTAGGAGTGCTCTATCACTTAACTCCATGCCCAGACCTTTTCTCTGCTACTTAGAAAGTTATATATTAAAGTATCTTAATTACACAAAATTAAAACGCTCCCAAGCAGCCCATCCTCTAAATATCACCCCTATCTAGAAGGTGTGTTTATTCTGAAATAAAGAGAAAAAAAAGTTCTTTCTTAAAATTATTTAGAGTAAGAATGCAAGTATAATCTATGCATGTAATAAAATTAAGTGGGATTAATCATTTGCATATTTGTTCTCTACCTACCTCAACCCAGGTTAGGTATCTGTGTCACAGGCATTACAATGCCTAGCACCAGCCTAGTAAAATATAACACAGGCAAACATACCATGTATCTGTATAGTAGTCAAATATTTTATTTATCCTCAGAACATAGGTATTTGGGTTTGACATGAACATCCCATGGTCTAAATCCTTCCAAAGTGAAGACATTGAGAAAAATATATTCAAAATAATATCTTGAATATGCAGTTTATATTATTCAACTTACCTGCAGTGGCTAAACAGGAGCTCATCAGGACAAACACAGTGATCACATAATGGGACGTCATTTCTCTTTCTGCAACAGCACGTCTCCTCCAGTCACGTCAGCCAATAGTTCTTCAGATCACAATCTTTGAAAATCAGAAGTGGCCTGAAAATCCTCTTGGCGATTTTCAAATTTCCTATAAAAATAAACAAATTTCAGTATAAAAACAGTACAGAAACTTTTTATAAATACACATTAAAGTTAAATGGAGAATTTCTGAAAAGCATAAAACAAGAAATTTGTCTTGAAAAAATGCCAAGACAGTACTCAACCAAACTAGGAAGAGGGTTTGGGTGGTAATTACCTAATACAGATTTTACTTACATTTGACACTTAAATCTTTGAGTTGTGGAAGTTTGGCGGTGTTGCTTTTGTGGAACGTTTTGTTTCATTTCTGAGATTCATCTCACTATGTTACCTAGACTTGTTTCAAACTCCTAGGCTCATGCAATTTTCCTGCCTCAACCTCTGGGCCCTGTAGGCCCACAACACCAAACCTGGCAAAATCTTTGGTTTTATATACTTTTCAGGACTATAGAAGAAAATCGAAGTGCACCTGTATCCTCACCAGTGATACCATGGTACTAAAGTAATCAATGATACCTCAAATACACATTCCCTAGTGCCAGCAAGCAAACAGAAATAGCACTGATTACAGACTCAAGTTAATGTTATAATGACAGAGTTATCACAATGATCAAATTAAATTACACTGAGAATCAATCTAAAGAAAGCAAAGAACCATAAAAAAGGAAAAGTTTTTATTTCAACTGTTGGCTGACATTTTAACAGGGGAAAAGTCTCTTTCAGCCCCATCTGAGACTCTCATTACTAGAGTAGATGATCTAGAAGGCCTTTCTAACCTTTTCTTACCCAGTCTTGAATGACAGCTTGGTGCTGGCCTGCTTAACTTGAATATTCTTCCCATGTCCGTAACAGTTACTTTATAGAAACATTCCAAAGTATATTTTCCAGCCCTACAACCCTGAGCCTGGCACAACCCACAGAAGTTGTTCAGTTCAACAAATATTTACTGAGCACCTATTATGATCTAGGTATGGTTCCTTCTCATCAGCAATAAAAGTCATCTAACAAATTGATAAAAGGTCAAAGACCCTGCTTGACCTAAGCCCTGGACAAAACCAGACCGTGGAATTTCTGGGAACCTAAATGGACTGATAGGGACAAACCTCTCTAAAAGAACATGCTATTTTGGCAAACGCTAAGAGTAATTTTTTTGAAACAAAACCCTGTAAGGAGATCTCAGGAGAAGACGGCTTCCTAGAGTATATGGGGCACATAAACCATAGGCAGCAGGGGGCTTGTGGGAATATTTAATGAGCTTGTATCACCCCTGCCCACAGATGGTCTTTGGGCCTTCGAGGCTACGCTGCGTTAATCCAGGGGCTTAAACAAGGTCTGAACAAACCTATGGAAAGAAAGGCAAATGGTTCTATTAAAAAATATAGACTGCAAATTGCTGACAAGAATATTGGGCAATTATTAAAATACAGCAATTACAGATATAATAGAGCCAAGCTAAACAGTTTGATGCCCAAAGGCAAACCACAGTGAGTTTACACCGGATCTTAAAACATCTCCGAGGACGTCCAAGACAAGTTGAAACTACACACTGCTGTTTCTAACAAAGAGAGAGCTTTTCTTCTTTTAGCTTAAAAGTCCTTCCCTAATGTAACTTGTTCAAAAAGAAAATAAACTGCAGAGGGTTTTTATCTAATGTTCCTAGTGTGGTGACAGGATCCTAAAGCAGAAGGGAATATAAAGGGAAGCGTGTGGTTCCCACCCAGCTGAACTCCAGCCTTCACACACAACTTATGGATGGATGCCCTATTGAAAAGAATGCTGGTGACAGCAGGCTTCCAAAAGGTTGCAGCTTTGAAATAAACCAAGGGAGACACAAACTCCCTTCTTCTGTGAGGTTCTATCACACTCACTCTTTATAGACCAAGGACTCCCGGCCTTGGCTTTTTGACCTCACTAAATGTCTTTGGCCTTTATGAACCAAATGCTTCCTTTTGAAATATAAACAGGTCCTCTGAGATCCTGAAAGCACAATTTTGTGGCTATACATTTCAAGGCAATGTGTTCCACTCAAAGGGTATGAAAAATTTAGTATCCACAAAGAAAAGAAAATTCTGAGAGATCATCATGGATTACAAAGACGAATGTACTAGTAATTAATTCAGCTCCTTTCAGAGTTGGCCGGTTTACTTCTGAAGCCATCAAATGGAACATGCTGCCCTGCATTCTTTGGTGATCCAAATAAGCACCCAGGTAAAGACCAGGATTAGTTGCAAAAACCCTACTTAAATGGATCCTAACACCATCAGGGTTTAAACCAATGTCTAAGAGGAATTGGTTGGGACCAATATTTCCTGGGTTGAATTTTTGGTCTTGTTTTTTTAAAGAGTAAATCCTGCTCTATTTGAGAAGAAAAATTATGGCAAAATGGATGTCTGGTGATGAGCTAAGAGCCAGTAAGAAAAACTACTATCCCTCATATGCCTATATACATAAAATTATTAAAATCAGGACTCAGTTAAAAATTATCATATAAAGATATATGAATAGCTTTTAAAAAATGGAAGAGGTCAGCACGCTATTAGTGGCAATGAAAAGCCCCAAATCCCAAGACCTACACTTGTCCTGATGGCAGACAAAGGTTAGAAAGGTCTCTTTCTAAGGCCACCACTCCTCCCAGCTTCAGCTCGGTCATTACAAACTGGGAAGCATTCTCTCTCCTCAACAGTTGCTCTCTGAAAACAGAACTTGTTTTCTAAGAGTGGGGAAGCCTGCATGGCTACTATCAAACATGGCTGTGCCTATTGCACAAATCATTACTGGTCACAATTGTCACTTGACTGCAGGACTATAGGTGTTAGCTATAAAAAATAATTTTTGGTAGTGCTGAACTCAAAGTTCTTTAAAAATTCAAAAGACAGGGCTGGGGATTTAGCTCAGTGGTTCTGGCGCCTGCCTCACAAGTGCAAGGTCCCAAGTTTGATTCCTGGTACCAAAAAAAAAAAAAATTCAAAAGACAAAATGAAGCACAAACCTGTACACTCTCATATCCTAATAGTGTACTGACATGGTTTTTGTCCCCAACTGGGGAGGAAAATTGGGGATTTAACAAATCTGAGGATCTTTAGGACAGAGATACTGAATGGGATTTTAGAAATTACCATCACCTAAACTCAAATACCTAAGCTTCTGGTAGCTTAAATGTAAAATGGTTTCTGAAGATTATTAAAATATTTTAATGTGTCATTTAAGTGCATTTTTTAGAGAAATACATATTTAAGTTTGCAAATGGTGAAGTAAAAGTTCGTAGAGGAATAGTTCTGATGGTCATTCAACATGTTATTCAGGGGATTCAGAAAAGAGGCAATGTGGATGACATCAATATATATTTTAAAAGGGTGTGTGGGATGTAGAACAGATGCTATTATTTGATGATATTTGGATGCCCTTTTAAGATCTGTACACAAAGAAAGTGAAGTCACTTTTATTAAGTCATAGCAGCAACTCCCAGATTTCTCTACCTCACAGGGAAAGTGGATAATTCCCAATCCCCTTATTCAGACAGATTTGGCACAAAGAAAGAAGAAGTCTTGGATTTGGTTGAGAAATCTCTGGAATCATATCCAAGCACAACAGATGCCCAACAAATATTTACCACTACCACATGCCCACCACTGATCAAGAAGTCAATGATACAGCAATGAAAAAAGGAGCCAAAACCCTGCCCTCATAGAGTTTATATCCTAGTAAAAAAAGAGAATCATTTACTGTTTTAAGTGAGACATTTAATTTCCTGGGCTCCATTTCTTCTCGACAAATCTTTAGTTACTGCTTACTCTGTTCCAGGCAATGGAGATATAATGGCCAAGCAGAGACATGTTCTTTGCCTCTCTGGGCTTCAAGTATGGTGAAATAAGCAAACAATCACAAATACATAACCACACAGTATGATAAGAGCTCTAAAGGAAAATCATCTACAGATGATGAAAGATACTTCAAGGAGAGGCACACTGCAAGTCCTTGACATGGAGAGAACAAGGCTGCACAGCGGAGAGAAAGAGAAGAGGAGTAAGGTTCACAGGCCGTGATCAGAGAGGGTTTTAATGTCTCCCTGGAGGCTGTACAGAGAACTGACTGAAAGGAGGCCACAGTGCTTGAGAAAAGATCAGCTGAAGTTTACAAAGGGGTAGACAAGAAAAGATGAACATAGAGGTCAGAATGGAACCTGTTTCTTCCTTTGTAAGGGATGATAATAATACTCTTACCTAGGTCACCAAGCTGTTTCAAGAATCAAATGAAATTGTGCATGTATGGTATAAAAGCCATCATTATTTATCATTAGCAGGTCATATTTACCAAAAAGATTTATTATCCTGAGGCCTAGGATTAACTGAAGTCTCAACATGCTGTGGCTGCCAGTTGCAGGAAATGAAAAGCAGAAGATTACTCCTGAACTCCTCTGTGGGTGGGCAGGAATTCCAGTGAAGACCAGAGGGAGGGGGCCACAGAGAGCACAAGGTAAGCAGAGGCTGAGCCCACTCTCCCGGGCTCCCACCTGCTGTCTTCAGGGGTAGGGAGCTGCCCCTCCTGGCCCTGCAGCCCTTACTTCCACCTGAGAGTGCCAATGTCTGGCCCTGGTATCCTCGGTTTCCTTGGTTGGAACCTCAGTGGGTCTTTAAAGGACCAGACACAATGACCCTCACTCCCAAGCAAAACACATCAAAATGGAAAGAGGGGGTGTGGATACATTTCACAAGGTAGTGAAAGATGTGTTTAGTTTGAGTTCACAAATAGATTTTTCACCCACCTTACAGAACTCAGAGCTATCTTTTCACATTTAAGATTTTTGCATCCAAAGACTTCTGCTGCTTATCATTTATGGGGGCATATTCTTTTAAGCAAGAATTAATAGAGAACTATATTTGGAAGTTTACATCCCAACATACCCACTTAGCCCTCATCATTCTCTCATCCATAAAATGATAACCCTTTATAATACACGGCATACAATATAGGCATGTTACCTAATCTGTGTATCCTGTCCAACACAGTCCTATGTGTAGTGCTGGGACTGCACCCAGAGTCTTGCAAGTA